GCTGTTTTTGCTGTGAGATTTCTGTGGTACTGTGCCAACCTTTACATGTGCCTGAAACTTTAGAGAATGACTTAGCAACATGAATGAGAGATTTGATTGCTCTTACTACAGATTTCCAGCTTGAGAAACGAGCAAACCTGTGGGATCCAAGCCCTTTTTCCTCTGCTTTAGTTGCTAGGGAAATTACTTGAGGACGAATTTCAACATCTGTTGAAGGCTGGACAAGGTCAAAAGTCTCTTTGTACTGTTCTGGATCTTTTGACTCGGTCTCAGACAGTGTGAGAAAATGAGGTCCAGAGAGCCAGGTAGTCTGTTGCAGTTGAGTTGCTAATACAGCTCGTGTCCCATGATCTGCAGAGTTCTGGTCAGTAGTGACAAAATGCCACTGGTCTGGTTTGGTAGACTTGCGAATCTGAGCGACTCTGTTAGCCACATATACATAGAATCTGCGGGTGTCATTATGGATGTAGCCTAGAAACTATTCGCTGTCTGTGTAGAAGTTCACTTCATTAAACTCAATGTCACTTTCATCTATGATCACTTGAGACAGTTCCACTGCCAATACAGCTGCACATAATTCTAAGCGTGGGATAGTGTGGGCAGATGATGGTGCCAGCTTAGATTTGCCCATGACAAACCCAACATGACATTGGTGACCAGTGTCAAAAACCCTAAGGTATGCTACAGCTGCTATTGCTGTTGTTGAAGCATCTGAGAAGATGCATAGTTCCCTTCTCTGAGTCTGGGATGCTGAAACTCCAACAAATGGTCTATGGATTTGGAGATGTTCAAGAGCGGTAAGTGAATCAGACCACCTTAACCACTCTGCCTCTCGGTCTGCTGGTAAAGGCTCATCCCAATTTTGCTGTCCAATAGTCAACTTTCTGTACAGTGCCTTTCCTTGGATTGTAACTGGGGCAGCAAATCCAAGGGGATCATAGAGGCTGTTGACAACAGAAAGTATTCCTCTTCGAGTGAAAGGTTTGTTATCCTTAGCAACTCGAAATGTGAAGCAGTCATTTTCCAAGTTCCAGCTCACTCCAAGACTTCGCTGAAGAGGGAGAGGGTCAACATCCAAATCCAAATCTTGAGGTCAGTTGCTCTTTCTTCTGGAGGAAATGCGTTCATCACATGACTGACATTTGAGGCTATTTTGTGAAGCCTTATATTGACTCTGCCAACATGTTTCCTAGCTTGTGGTAGGAGTTCGATGGCTTCCCTTTCATTGTCCACTGAAGCCAGTCCATCATCCACATAGAAGTTCCGGAAGACAAACTGTTTTGTGTTGGAACCATATTCTTCTTCTCCAAGCTCAGCTGCTCGTCTGAGACCATAGATTGCAATAGCCGGAGAAGGACTGTTGCCAAAACCGGCACCTTCATGCAAAACTCCATGATTTTTTTGCTAAGGTCATTATCTTGGAACCATAGAACCGAAGGTAATTTCTGTGGCTTTCTTTGACTCTGAAGCAGTAAAACATCTGCTCAACATCTACAGTAACTGCAACTCGTTTTTGCCTAAAGCGCAGTAGAACACCCAGCAATGTGTTGTTTAAGTCAGGCCCCCTAAGTAGAATGTCGTTTAGTGAAACACCTTGTATGAGGCACTTGAGTCAAACACAACACGTATTTTCCCCGGTTTCTGGGGGTGGTACACTCCAAATGTTGGTAGGTACCAGCATTCTTCCCCTGGTTTGAGTGGTGGTGCTTCTTCAGCTTGGTCATTATCAAAAATCTTCTGCATGAATTCAGTGAATTGTTGTTTTCATGTCTTTCTTTTCTCCAGTGTCCGTAACAGAACAGTAAGACGCTTCAAAGCCTGTTCTCTGTTGCTAGGAAGTAGAGGACGTAGGGTACGGAATGGTAGTGGTGCCACCCAGTGATTTTCATTGTCCAAATAAACCTCTCTGTCCATGATTTCAAGAAAGATCTTGTCTTCAATAGACAAGGCTGTTTTGTCATCATCAGGGTTCTTTTGGAACACATTAAGCCCCAGATTGTCAGTTGGTTTGACTGCAACTGTTTGTGTGATGTCCAATATAGTTTGCTGAATGGGATCAGTGAACCTCTCTTTGATGTGAATTTCACCAGGACAAGGTTCAAGAAAAGAAGTGCGTCCATTTTTTAGCACATTTGTTTTGTACACGTTCACCTTAGTTTGTTTGTGTGCCCCTCCAAGACACACTTCACCTACGATAACCCAGCCCAAATCTAGTCGCTGGGCATAAGGTGTGTTGTGCGGACCATTGTGCTGTTCGCGTACTTTATGGACACTTAGGACATCTCCCCAATAAGAGAAGGATGGGCGTGTCTGGCTCCATTGGAGGTATTTCCCCTGCAATGGGAGCTAGATGGGGGAAATACTGCACAATGTCAGGAGTAGGAATTTCTGAGCGATCATCTGGCATAGTATTGCATTCTAAAAGAGGTGGGAGAGCTACATGAGTCTTTCCATCCAAAGACGTAACAACAAAATTGTTAGCCTTTCGTCCTGTTGCCTCTTTTATTCCTCCACAAGTCCTCAGAGTATAAGTGGTAGCGACTGCATCAATGCCAAACATGTCGAAGTAGGCTGACTTTGCAAGAGATCGGTTGCTTTGGTCGTCCAAAACCACATACATCCTTTGGGCCTTGTTGGGATCGTTAATAGGTACACTTTCACTAATGAGATTTTTGAACAGGATCTGAGTCCATGAGTTGTGTCACAGATCTCTGTACATTTTGACGTAACCTCCGGGGATGGACTATTTTCTTGCTCCCCGCCTTGCTCTTGCTGTGTTGCATCCACCTCTGTAACCCAAGGAGCAGGACCAGGATGTAAAGCAGTTAGGTGCTTGTCGCTGTTGCATTCTTTGCACTTCACAGAAACTTTAGTCTTTGGCTAAGTGCTTAGTGGATGAGCAACAACGAAAACAAATGGAGTTTTCTTTTAGATAAGCTTTCCTCTCATCTAAGTGTTTCATTCTAAAACCACGACACTTTGCCAAGGGATGTGGCTTACAGTGTATTGGGCACCTCTCTGATGGTTCCTCTGGTTTCTTTTCTGATACTGTTGATGACTGCAGGTGCGACCGCAACTTCAGTTTTTCTCACTGACACTGTTTTGTAAGTGTTGTTGTGCCTTAATGGTTTCTCTGCCTTTACATGAGTCATAACACCACATGTAGAGAACATAAAACTTGGATCATTACGTGTTTTTGCTTGACTACATATAAAACTTACAAAGAAGCTGAAGGGTGGAAAGGAAACATTATGTTCTTCCTTGTATTTAGAACCCTTTGTAATCCAGCGTTCTTGTAAGGCATAAGGAAGCTTTTCCACAATAGGGTTAACCCCTCTGGCTGTGTCTAGGTAGGCTAAACCTAGTAATTTTCCACCTGACTTAGCTGCCTGAATCTCCATTAAAATATCCCCCAGTTCTCTAAGACGCTGATTTTCTTTGTTGGATATTTTTGGAAAAGTCTCTAGCTTTAGCAGAAGTGCATTTTCTATAATCTCAGGGGAACCATATGTATCATCTAGCCTTTGCCACACCATAGCGACACCTAATGACGGATTGTGGACATGGACTGACCTGATACGCAAGGCTTGTGGTGATGAGTTTGGACCTAACCACTTTATCAGGAGGTCAAGTTCTTCCCGTGCTGTTAAGTTAAGCTCTCCAGCAATGTCTTGAAACGAAGTTTTCCAGGCCCAGTAGTTTTCTGGATGGTCATCAAATTTTAGCAGCCCAGAGCTTACTATCTCTCTTCTGACGAGGTATTTGGAGAGATCAGCTACTTGAGCTGGTTCACACGGGTAATCTCGTAAACTGGATGTTGGTGACATTGGCGTAGGAAGATGAGGTAGGTAGGCTCTGTTTTCTGCACCAGGCGTTTCTTCATCTTTAATGCAGAGCTCAGATAAACGAGGCACTTCGTTATGATTAGGAAACCACGGAGTTGGGTCAGAATGAACTCGTTCTGCACTCATGGGCATGGCAGGAGATTGTTGTGAGACTGGAGCTTGCTGCTGAGCGTTTAGTGTCACGTAGTGGGCCTGCACGTACTCACTCGTGCGTTGAGTGCGATCCTCCGGGTAAATCTGGCTTCTTTCTTCAAGTGAATCCACCTCTGATGCTGCTGCGGCTTCATAGACTGCAGCTTCTGCTGAGGCTGCTTTTGCACTCCTGTTTAGTTTTAGGACGTACAGATTTGCCTCCAACTCTGCTTTGCGCTGTTCCGCTTCAGCTAACATTTTCTGATTTTCAGCTTCAATGCGGGCTTTTTGTTTCATCATCTCTGCTTCTTGAGCTGCATACTTAGCTTCTATCAGGGCTGCTTGTGCTTTAGCTTTAGCTTTGGTAGCTGCTGCACTGGCTGAGGACTTACTCGTTCTCCCTGACGACTTGGACGCTGCGACTTGCGACAAGACCTCAAAGTCTGTTTGCCTTCGTTGTTCCATGATGTTCTTATCGTCGTGGTCGACGACAGTGAATCTGCTCCCAGCCGGTTGTGTAACTGTCTTTTTACTATTCTGTCCTCACGCAGGTGTATCTGCTTGAGACAGATAGCGAACAAAAAAAAAAATAAACTCCAAACGTTGCGTCGTCTGAACTTTTATTTCTCTTTTCTGTAAAAAGACAAAGATGCTAAAGACTTGGAACAAGCTGTCGCTCAACCACGTTACACATCAGAAAAATGCTGGATAGACTGAACTAAACAAAACCTAACTCAAATAGTACCACAAGGGGCGGCAAGACAACAGAAAATAGGACTCTCGGTAATCTTTTAGTATTACAATACAGCAACCATAATTTATCTGAAAGTAAAGTATTTTCTACGATTTATTTAAAAAATTATATGTTTATATTCAAACCAGTTTTTAATTTTCTTTGTATATTTCTGACAATTATGACAGTTTTCCCCAAAAAATGAATCTGTTTCATTTATAATTGTCTTATATTTTTCTTCATCATTTCATCAAACTGTGTTTAAAATAAATAATCACCAGTCACTTGAAGATACTTTATTAGTGATTAATATTTCTGCACCAGAAATTAGATATTGCATTTTTAGTTCAATACTTTTTAATTGTTTGCAATAAATGATTTATATAATAAATGTCGGCCAGTAAACGGGTCAAAATCCTTGAAATAATAAAAATATTATTACATCCAGTAAGAGTACATTACAATAAACACAAATTAAACACACCAATTTAATTCACATAAAAATTAATGCAGTATCAACTTTGTAACAAACATTTCAATCAGATCCTCATAAAATCAGAATGTTCAGTTGATTGATTTGATTTTCTGAACTTTTTACAGTTTAATTTAAAAACTTGATAAAAACAGAAATGTTCAATCTCCCCAATGTAAGAACAATAATGACAACATAATAATTCAGTTTAATGTGATTATCTGAAGCAGAACCAAGTATGATCAATAATGTAATCAATAATCAATAATGTAATCATTCACAAGTTCCCCAAATGTTGCTTCTTTCAAAACAGAAAAGATTTCAATGAACTCTAAACCATTATATTACTCCTGGGTAGAGACGCTCCCATCAGGCTTTTTCCTGCCGGTTCTGATCACCATGAGGTCCGATCACTGCTGATCACAGATATCGATCACAGATATCGATCACAGATATTGATCACATGGATTGGCTGTTAATGTTTCGCTTTAGGTAGAAATGCTACTATGTGATCTGGCAAAATGGAGCCATAAAATCACCTAATTAGACAAAAACATGTTCAATACTTGCAGCTCATGGCTGATTGTTCTGGTTCTGATGGTTTGGTTCTGACCCAGTAGAGTAATTCAGCAGAACACAGAGAGGAGGCAGAGGAAGTCCATTTGTTCTCTCAGATTATCTCATTTTAGGACATAGAGAAAGTTACATTAAAACTGTTTTAAAGTTTCCTCCTCAGTACCGCATAGCGGTGAAAATCAAAAAAGAAAATCAAAATCTGGATCCTGGAATAATCCTGGAAAAATCCTGGAATAATCCCAGCTTCCATCTTTAAAGGACTGGAAGAAGAAAAAGTTTCCAAGGAATCAGTCAGAATCTTTTCACCAAGAAATAGATTGTAGAGACTGAACTATCTGTTCAACAGTGAGAGAGTTTCTCTGACAGGAGGAAAAACTTTAGACTCAAATCAGCTCAGAAACACTGAAGAACCATAAGACCAGACCCCAAATCCAGGAATCAGAGGTTCAGTGAATGTGGTGTTGAAGGTGTGGAGGAGGATCAGTGAGTCAGAGGAGACTCTGTAGAAGGACAGAATGCCAGCAGGACAGTCCACATACACTGCTACTCTGTTAGAGACAGAGGAGGAGGAGAGACGAGTTTCTATGTTATTGTGCAAGACAAAGTAACCCTGACGATCAGAGCAGTTCAGACTCCAGGAATGATCATTATATCCAAACAAACAGTCTCTACCAATTCTTTTCCTCTTGATTCTTCTGTAACTCACTGATATATCAACATCTCCACTCCACTCAACCTCCCAGTAACAGCGACCAGTTAGACCAGTTCTACACAGCAGCTGAGGATGATAAAATCTGTCTGGATGATCAGGATATGACTGAAACTCCTCATGTGTCACCTTCCTGTTGTCTTCAGACAGTTTGAGGTTTCTGCTCACTGTGTTTGTGTCGATGGTGAGTTGACAGGAATCTGATGGAGAACAAACACAATCCAGCTGCAGTTATTGATCATTTATTGACACTTTGACTCCTGAATGAGTGATGTGACAGTTTGAAGATGGTTGAATGTGAGCTGCTTTGTTGTCATGAATCAGATGAAAAACACACTTACATTTCCTCAGACCTGGAGTCAAGAATCGGCCTCCAGCAGGCTCCACCCTGAAAGGAGGAGGGGGTCAGACCATCAGTCTCTTTCAGTAGCAACATGGACATTACATGTCTCTCAGACACATATTGTCCTCCACTGAGACAGAAACAGTCCAACATCTGGATTGCAAACTGCAGTGGATGTAGGAAGGACAGTTGGTGCTGCTGCAGCACAACTCATTTCTCCAAACACAGGAAAAGCTCCAACAGAGAGGAGAAAGGAAATCCCTCAGTAACAACCTGAAGAAACTCACTGAAGCCTAAAAGGACATCAGGAAACTAAGGAAACATTTCTGGAAGCTCCACCTGATTTAATAATCAGCATTAAAATAAAATCAATCTAAACTCTGATCAACACCTGGATACCTGATCCATCCACACTCCCACACACAGATGAAGGAATGAAACACTAAACAGCCCTGCTGCTGAAAACCTGCTGTGGCCTCACTGTAATATCCAGAAATACAAACATTCAAAAGGAGAAGCTGCATCACATTCAACAAAGATTCAACAAGAATCAAAGATTTGATCTCTGAGCTCAGACTCACAAACCAGGGAGAGGCTTTCATCATCACACACCTCTGACAAACACCTCCAACCTTTCAGCACTTCCTCTACCAGCCAGCACCACCAGGTGGCGCTGCACACATTTACAATGAGCCCAAGAAGAAGAAGAAGCATCCTGAATCCAGCAGCTGCAGTAATGGCTTGTGAAAGTGTCCAAGGAGCATCTGGAACCAGAACCAGCAGATCCAACAGTCCAGAGAGTCTTTGTTTGCATCTTTCCTCTCAGATTTCCAAGCTGCTCTGAGAGGGAAATGACATCATCACTCTACTGATGATGTCACGCTCTGATATCACTGACGAGGAGCTGCTGGACTTCTACATTTCCAGCATGGAGGACAGAGAAGATCTCAGCTCTGATGAGGAGCTGGCCTGCCTTCACTCTGATTGCGGGTCAAAGAAATATTTCCAGATGAAGTCAGACTAAAATGTTGGATTGTCCTGCTGTTGCAATCAGAGGCCAAGAAGAAGCTTCAAGTTCTTCTCCTGTTCAGCTCCACGTTCCTGTCAGAGACTTCAGCTCCTCATGAGGAGAACAACTAAAGCCTGGAACAGACTGACACCAACATCCTGACATCTCATCCCTGAACAAAGCTTCTACTTTGTTCAGGGATTCTTCATTTCCTCTGGAAAACAAGGGATTTCCATTCTCTCCTGATTCTTTTCATTCTTTGATCATTTTCCAGATGTCGCCCCCTGGTGGAGATCAAACTACTAAATGGATGAAACTTAAAATTCTCACTTTCTTTCCTTTCCTCATGAATTGTTTTCTTCACTTTTTATGTATTTTATATTTCATTAAATCCTGAAAGTTGTGAGTTTTGTTCAAAATCTAAAGTTCTTTATTTTTCTCTCCCAGAACTTTAAACATCCATCTGACTAACATGGAGTTACTTTTTTTCTCATCTTTGCTTCTTGGGGCTGATTGGTCTGGAGCTCCATCAAATATTGTTTTAAAGTCTTTCTGCCATCAGTAGATCATAATGGACATATAACTGAACTTCTCTTTTAGTAATTTAGTCAGAGTCCCTATTAAACCATCCCACTCTTTAATTTTCCTTGTGATCCGTTCTTTGTCTAGAGAATATTCCAGAAAACTGGGTGATGATCTCTGCCTCCAGATGAGGCGTCTAAATATTTAATTATCAAATTAAACATTAAGTTTCAAACTAAATGTTTCTCAGCAGACTGACTAAAGACATTTCTCCCTCTTCCTCCTCTATCAGACCTTCTCTGCTCCTGCAGCAGGTTCCTCCATACCTGAGAGCTTCCAGTCTCCAGTGTGGATCCTTCAGTCCAGCCGACAGCAGCTTCACTCCTGAGTCTCCTGGATGATTGTAGCTCAGGTCCAACTCTTTCAGATGGGAGGGGTTGGAGGTCAGAGCTGAGGCCAGAGAAGCACAGCCTTCCTCTGAGACCAAACAGCCTGATAAGCTGCAGACACACAATTCATCACATGATGAGAAAATGAGAACATTGAGGTAGAAACCAAGGACTGAAATGATGGATGGATTTGTAACATGTGGAATAATTAAGAAAGCCAACCAACTGCTGGGATCTGTAATTATGCTTCTTTTTGCACCTAAGATGCAGCAATTTGTCAAGTATGCAGAGTTACCTGAGAGTTTCCAGGTTGCAGTTTGGACTCTTCAGTCCAGCAGAGAGAAGCTTCACTCCTGAATCCTGCAGGTTGTTGTTACTCAGGTCCAGTTCTCTGAGACTGGAGGACTGGGAGCTGAGAACTGAGGACAGAGCTTCACAGCTTCTCTCTGAGAGGTTACAGCCACTCAGTCTGAGGAGACAGGGGAAAATCTATTCTTAAACAATTCCTCAAAATTTATGTTCTTTCATATCAACAATGTTTGTTTTGGACAGAGAAGGAACTGTCTTATTTTACACAACTTTTGTCTTTTTGTGAACTGGTTGATTCTGTAGTTGGGCCTCCAACCTTAAAGAGCCGAACTACAGGCAACAAGGAGATTGGAAAGATCATTATAAAATTCTACAATAATTTCAATTTTAACAAAAGTGGAGGATTTTTTCTGATAGAATATGTAACACTATGTCCAGCTGATGAAGGAAGTTTGTTTCTTTGTGTGCATCTCCCCCTCATGGGACACTTTGAAGAGACAACACACCAATATATAAATTGAAACATGAATATTCACTTCATAATTAGCAGATTTATATCAATCTGATCATTTGGATGAATATGACCCATCCAAATGGGTTGTATTTAAATGAATTAACAATGTGTGTCCTTACAGAGTTTTGTTGGAGGCTTTAACCACTGGCAGAAGCCTCAGAAGAACCTCCTCTGAAGCAGAGTATTTCTTCAGGTCAAACACATCCAGATCTTTTCCTGATGACACTAAGATGAAACCCAGAGCTGACCACTGAGCAGGAGACAGTTTATCTGTGGAGAGACTTCCTGAACTCAGAGACCATTTGATCTCGTTAACTAGAGAACGATCATTCAGTTCATTCAGACAGTGGAACAGATTGATGCTTTTCTCTGCAGACACATTCTCACTGATCTTCTTCTTGATGTACTGAACCGTTTCCTGATTGGTCTGTGTTCTACTTCCTGTCTGTGTCAGCAGACAATATAGGAGTCTCTGATTGGTCTGCAGTGAAAGTCCCAGGAGGAAACGGAGGAACAAGTCCAGGTGTCCATTTGGACTCTGTAAGGCCTGGTCAACAGCTCTCTGATGGAGAGACTTTGGTTTAGAGTCTCTAGATAATGAAAGCTCTCAGATGTTTGTTTTCCTTCCATCAGGTTGACTCCAGAGTTGATGAAGGTCAGATGAACATGAAGAGCAGCCCAGAAACTCCTGAACACTCAGATGGACGAAGCAGAACACCTTGTCCTGGTACAGACCTCTCTCCTCTTTAAAGATCTGTGTGAACACTCCTGAGTACACTGAGGCTGCTCTGATATCGATGCCACACTCTGTCAGGTCTGATTCATAGAAGATCAGGTTTCCTTTCTGCAGCTGATCAAAAGCCAGTTTTCCCAGAGACTCAATCATCTTCCTGCTCTCTGGACTCCAGTGTGGATCTGTTTCAGCTCCTCCATCATACTTGACCTTCTTCACTTTGGTCTGAACCACCAGGAAGTGGATGTACATCTCAGTCAGGGTTCTGGGCAGCTCTCCTCCCTCTCTGGTCTCCAACACATCCTCCAGAACTGTAGCAGTGATCCAGAAGACTGGGATGTGGCACATGATGTGGAGGCTTCGTGATGTCTTCATGTGGGAGATGATCCTGCTGGCCTGCTCCTCATCTCTGAATCTCTTCCTGAAGTACTCCTCCTTCTGAGGGTCATTGAACCCTCTGACCTCTGTCACCATGCCAACACACTGAGGAGGGATCTTATTGGCTGCTGCAGGTCGTGTGGTTATCCAGAGGAGAGCAGAGGGAAGCAGTTTCCCCCTGATGAGGTTTGTCAGCAGAACATCCACTGAGGTGGACTCTGTAGCATCAGTCAGGATCTCCTTGTTGTGGAAGTCCAGTGGAAGTCGACTCTCATCCAAGCCATCAAAGATGAACAGAACCTGGAAGTGTTCAAAGCTGCAGATTTCTTTGGTTTCACTAAAGAAATGATGAACAAGTTCCACCAAGCTGAACTTTTTCTCTTTCAGCACATTCAGCTCTCTGAAGGTGAATGGAAATATGAACTGGATGTTCTGGTGGGCTTTGTCTTCAGCCCAGTCCAGAGTGAACTTCTGTGTTAGGACAGTTTTCCCAATGCCAGCCACTCCCTTTGTCATTACTGTTCTGATTGGTTGATCTCTTCCAGGTGGGACTTTAAAGATGTCTTCTTGTCTGATTGTTGTTTCTGGTCTGTGTGGTTTCCTGGATGCTGTTTCAATCTGTCTGACCTCATGTTCATCATTGACCTCTTCAGTCTCTCCCTCTGTGATGTAGAGCTCTGTGTAGATCTGGTTCAGAAGGGTTGTACTTCCTGCTTTAGCAATCCCCTCAAACACAGACTGGAACTTCTTCTTCAGACCAGATTTAAGTTGATGTTGACAAAATGCAGCAAGACGGTCTAAATAAACATAAAAAGTAAAATCAGGAACAATAAAAATTATATTTTTAAGAGGTTTGAGTAAATGTGATTCCATCTCTTCAGACATCAGTAAATGTGTGTCTTATCCATCAAATTAAATCTTTGTAGAAATCCTCTTACTGCTCTGCAGACAGTCAGCCATCTCATCCTGCTTCATCCTCCTCAAGAAGTTCAGTGTGATCTTCATCACTGCCTCTCTGCTGCTCCTCTTCTGCTCTTCATCATCACCTCCCAATACCTCATCATCTCTCAGACTCTCTGAGCATTCTGGGTAATCTGGACTCAGAACTTTCTGGATTTTCTTCAGCTCGTTCTTCACATAAGTGACAATGTTGTCCTCCAGCAGCTGGAACAGAATAATAGATGAAGGAAACATCAGAGTGAAATCATGGAGCCAAACACCAGATGGATGTTGTACAGACTGACAGTCCTCTGGACTACAAATGGCAGCATGGAGATGAATGTGAACAGAACCTATAGAAAGTAGTTGTTGTTCATATACAGACCATAAATATGGAGTCCAGCTGTGTTTGATGGACCGATGGACCACTGGGAACCTCTGAGCTCTGCTGGTCCACTCTGTGGAGGAACCAGGAACAATTAGAAATATTCATCCAGCAATGCTCACATGGAAATCACCAAGACTTTTACATTAAAATCCTTAAAGCATAAAAACAGAGCATCACATAAACACAATACAAAGAAAGAAAAAGCTAGTGGCTGGTTGGATGGTCGATGCTGAAAGCCATGAATCTTTGATTCATCCAGCCGACATTTGAGACAAAACCTGCAGCAACATTTGCTACTTTCTACATGTTCAACCTAAATAATGGATATGAGGCAGCAAAGACTTTGGAGTGTATTCAACTGTAAAACTATTCCTATGATTTTATTTTGAAAACTCTTTACAATGAATAAAATACAATCGGAAAATTTTTAGGAGCTACAAAGCAAGTTATAGTGAACAATTGACCAATATAGTGACCTGTTATCTTAATATATTTAAAAACGGAATATTTCACATTAGGTAAAGAACGTTTTTATTTTATATTGACCTGCTGCCTTCAAATGGTCAGTTTTCTAAAAACTAAGACTGTGTAATATTAATACTTTTTCCCAGAGATTATTGATAAAGTGCATCAAGTGGTGAAACTAAGCCTACATTAAAATACTGGCAGCTACAGATGCCGGTAATTTACTCTTTATTTAGTTTCACAACTGTACAGTCATGGCCAAAAGTTTTGAGAATGATTCAAATGTTAATATTTACAAAGTCTACTGCTTCAGTTTTTATAATGGCAATTTGCATACACTCCAGAATGTTATAAAGAGTGATCAGCATAACAGCAATTAATTGCGAAGTCAATATTTCCCTAGAAAATTAACTTTATCCCCCAAAACACATTTCAACTGCATTGCAGCCCTGCCTTAAAAGGACCAGCTAACATCGTTTCAGTGATTGCTCCATTAACACAGGTGTGGGTGGTGATGAGGACAGGGCTGGAGATCAATCTGTCATGATTAAGTAAGAAGGACACCACTGGACACTTTGAAAAGAGGCTGGTGCTTGGCATCATTGTTTCTCTTCTGTGAACCATAGTTATCTCTAAATAAACATGTGCAGTCATCATTGCAATGCACAAAAATGGCCCAACAGGAAAGAGAATCGCAGCTAGAAAGATTGCACCTCAGTCAACAATCTATGGCATCATCAAGAACTTCAAGGAGAGAGGTTCCATTGTTGCCAAAAAGGCTCCAGGCGCCCAAGAAAGACCAGCAAGCGCCAGGACCATCTCTTAAAAGTGTTTTAGCTGCGGGATCGGGCTGCCAGCAGTGCAGAGCTTGCTCAGGAATGGCAGCAGGCAGGTGTGAGTGCATCTGCACGCACTGTGAGGCAGAGACTCTCGGAGCAAGGCCTGGTCTCAAGGAGGGCAGCAAAGAGGCCACTTCTGTCCAGAAAAAACATCAGGGACAGACTGATATTCTGCAAAAGGTGCAGGGAGTGGACTGCTGAGGACTGGGGTGAAGTCATTTTCTCTGATTAATTCCCTTTCCGATTGTTTGGGACATCTGGAAAACGGTTTGTTCGGAGAAGACGAGGTGAGCGCTACCACCAGTCTCGTCTCATGCCAACTGTAAAGCATCCTGAAACCATTCATGTGTGGGTTGCTACTCAGCCAAGGGAGTCGGCTCTCTCAGTCTTACCTAAAAACACAGCCATGAATAAAGAATGGTACCAGAATGTCCTCCGAGAGCAACTTCTCCCAACCATCCAAGAGCAGTTTGGTGATGAACAATGCCTTTTCCAGCATGATGGAGCATAATGCCAAAAAGCAAAGGTGATATCTAACTGGGTCAGGGAACAGAACATAGAGATTTTGGGTCAATGGCCAGGAAACACCCCTGATCTTAATCCCATTGAAAACCTGTGGTCAATCATCAAGATATGGGTGGACAAACAAAAACCTAGGAATTCTGACAAAATGCAAGCATTGATTGTGCAAGAATGGACTGCCATCAGTCAGGATTTGGTCCAGAAGTTGATTGAAAGCATGCCAGGGAGAATTTCAGAGGTCCTGAAGAAGAGGGGTCAACACTGCAAATATTGACTTGCTGCATTAACTCATTCTAACTGTCAATAAAAGTTTTTGTTACTCATAATATGATTGCAATTGTATTTCTGTATGTGATGATAACATCTGAGGGCAGCAGATCAT